ACCTTCAATACCATGACTGAGGTGCCCTTGAGCAAGGCACCGAACCCCTAACTGCTCCCCGGGCGCCCCGCAGCATAAATGGCTGCTCACTGCTCCGGGTGTGTGTTCACGGGTGTGTGTGTGTTCACTGCTGTGTGTGTGCACTTTGGATGGAATAAATGCAGAGCACTAATTCCGAGTATGGGTCACCATACTTGGCCACATGTCACATCACTTAAGCCTATTATTAAGCTACCTCACCGACCCCAGAGGATCATCAGAGCACATGCTCCAGCTTCCACACTGGGCTTCTCAACCTCCGAGATGGGCAGAAGCATCATCGTCAGACACTAGGCCTTCTGTGATCTAATCCTGTAAGCTCTAAAAAAGGTTAAAACCGCCATATATGATCATCTCTCAAACCCTTTCCCAAAAGGTCCAAGACATTCACTGGTCTATTCTTTATATTGCTAAAAAAGACTATTACGCTGATCATCGTATTTACTACATTTAAAAAGCACATACTCTACTATTTCTAAAACATCACATTCTTCACACATACTATTTTCATGCTTCCCCATTAATGCAAGTATTGAATTTAGTTCTGTGTGTCCCAACCTTAATCTAGAAATCATTACTTCTTCCTTTCTATGCCTTCCATAAAACTGTTACATCATAGTAAGCTTTTCTCTTCTAAAATCTAATGGAATCTCCATTTCAACCCTGATGGCATCTAGATGGGTTGATCTTATTGCTCCACAGCAGATTCTAGGTGCTCTAGACTGTATATAATCCAGTTTCTTCCATTCTGATTTAGCTCCAGCCCCATAAACTGTACACCCATAACCTATGTAACAGTGCACTTTTTCTTGCTCCCCATTCATACTTAGCTATTGAAAAAATTTTAATAGAAAATTTAAATTTAGCTATTTTTTAAAAAATAACTTTTTTTGATACTTTTGGAGCTTTGGTGTTGCCGACTTTACATCAAAAAAACTTCTACTTAGCTATTGAAGACATGCAATTTATTATGCCTTTGCATTTGTTTTCAATTTTCTTAATGTCTCTTCCAAGATGATTTCTCATCAAAGATTAATCCAAGATATTTGAATTCTGTCACTCTTTCTAATGGTTAATCATATAATTTCAGAGTCATTTGTTCCATTTTCGTTTTCTTTGTAAAAAAGCATATATTGAGTCTTTGATACAGAAAACTACAATCCCTAATCTACAGAATCGGATTGATTACATTTCCTTGTGGAGTCCTGTTCAGGACATCATATGATGCTAACATTTCTTCACCTATTCTTGGAATGTACACTCAAGAAATCTAATATCCAATTATACATTCTCCCCCCATTACAATTTTATTTAGCTTAATTAACAGTCCTTCCCTCCATAAAGTGTCATATACCTTTTCAATGTCAAAGAAAACAGCAAAAATATATTCTTAGATTATTAAAGCTTTTTAAACATCATTCTCAAATAATATCAGAGCATCCGTTGTAGATCCTTTCTTCCTATAAACCACTCTGGGCTGATGATATTTATTTTTTCTCCAAAAAGTAATTCAACCTTCTTACTATAATTTTCTCTATTACTTTGCATTAGGGATGCACCGATACCGATACTGGTATCGGTATCGGGCCCGATACGGAGCTCCTGTACTCGTACTCGGTAAAATGCCCCGATACCAAAGGCCGATACCACACAGCATGTGATAAGCGCCATATTCAGACAAAGAAACACGACAACAGAACAACAGACAGCAGAAAGGAGTTAAGGATGTCTACTACGAAGTATATGTATGCAATGAATATAATGTTAAAAATGTACAAATGCAATAAAAATATCGGTATCGGTACTCTGTATCGGCAAGTACCAAAAATAAAAGTATCGGTATCGGACGAGTACTGGAAAAAGTGGTATCGGTGCATCCCTACTTTGCATAATGTAGATGTAAGGGCAATTGGCCTATTAGATTTTGTTGCATCTTTCCCTGGTTTCACTACTGGTATCACTATTGCACTTTTCCAATCTTTGGGTAAGGTGCCTTCATTCCATATATGATTATATAAATCCATTAATGCTTTAACGGCTACTTCTGGTACATTTTTTAACATACTGTAACTGATCATGTGTCTCCCTAGTGTTGTATTCTTTGAATTGTTAATGGCTATTTTTAACTCAAAAGAATTAAAATCCTCATCCATATTACTATCAACTCCTTGTTTTTTCATACGAACATTCTCATATATTTTACTTAACTCTTGTCTTCTTTTTAAGAACTTATCGTCCAAGTTTTCTATGAATTTTATCAAAAGTTTTAGCTAAGACTTGTGACTTTTCCTTATCCGTGATGGCCATTTCCCCTTCCTCTTTAATTACAGGGATCTGTTTATAATTATTAATACCATTCATTTTCCTAATCATTCTCCATATCACATGCATTTCAGTCTCTCTCCCAATTGTATTGCAAAACTCCTGCCGAACCTTTCTTTTTGCACTTTTAATTACCCTTCTTGCAGTTGCCTTTTCTTCTGATATTCTACAATTGTATCTAATTAACCGTTTTTTAAAATCCAAAATGCCTTACTGGAAATTCTTCAGACCACAATGGTACACTTTTCTTTTTCTTTCCATTACCTTTAAAGGTATAGATTTGTTTGCTACAGAAATAATTTCTTCTATTATCTTATTGTATTTCTCCTCAATATTTCCTTCCAACTTCATATTTTTGAAATTTTATTCACACAACATAGGCTACAGAATTCTTTCCATTTTGCCTGCATCCATTTCGCTTTCGCACTGCATTCTGAATCTCACATACTACATACTAATCTCACATCATCCTAATCTCACATGGATGGATGGATGGATCAGTGTTTCCCAACCTCTGTGCCGTCTGCCATTCAGAATGGGTCAAATATGGACTAACCCAACTGCTGACCCTAAGTTGGGTTGAAACAACCCAGCATTAGGTGTAACGTTAGCTAATATACTGTTATAAATATCCAGTGCATAGCGCTTCATCTTTTATATCATGAGATTTTGGCCAAATGTTTTCAACAACAAAAAACTGTGCCCATATAGCTAAAATTTATAACCTGTAAGTTCCTGAAAACTGACCTGCCAGTGCTTGCCTGCCTGGTGGCTGGCAGTCCACTGTCAGGAACTATTATTTATGGCAGATTCATGTGTTTTGCTCTCCTTCCACTTTAGCTCCAGGAATAATATATATTTTTTTATTGTACATTGCCGACATTCGCTGGTCAAAACCTCCTAACTCCATTTTAGCTTGATTTTCATAAAATATTAATATTATAATGGCACATGCAAGTGACTGATCATATATAAAGCCACAATACCAACTCTGACGATGCTGTATTTAATTATCATATATATACAGTGGGTATACATTATTTTTATTAATGGTTTTGGCATTTATAAAAAGGTTTTTATTAATGGTTTTATTTTCTCTTTCCTGTCAATGTTCGTGTTTTTGTAGATTACGTACAACAATCAATTGATATTGATATATCAATTTGAAACTGAAAACACACACACACACACACACACAGTATATTAAAGTAGCAGATAATGTTCTAACGTGGTGTCTATTCTGAAACAAAGAAATTGTCTGTTGAGACTTTTATTTTGACATAGACTCAAGCTGTGGGGGAAGTACTCGTTAATGGTTTACTTCCCGTTCTAAACGCATGTGGGAAGTCCACGCGGATAGTTGTTGATCTGTTTTCACAAAGTTGTGTTTTGGTTTATGAGCTATACGCTATTTGTGAACTGCACGAATATTTAGATAATTTTTTATTAACCGATGACAGCATGGTCCGAGCAAGAAGGTATGTAGTTTAGTTGTCTTTGTAATTTATTGCTGGTTTCTGCTCGTTATCACAATGGTAGGACCTTGATCATGCAGAGGAGATATATATCAGTTTATGAAACAAATGTTTAAAAATCCATAGTTAAACCCACCAATTTATTGTATTTTGCATCGTCGTATTTACTAACAAATGTGTATAAATAGACCCGAGATAGCTATGTAGGCAGACGTCTGCTCAACAAATATCAGTGCAAATATATATAATTAAGTTCTCTGTGATTTTACCATTGAATTGTAATAATACGGCAAATGCTTTTTTTTTTTTTATTTTTATTAATGGTTTTGGCATTTATAAAAAGGTTTTTATTAATGGTTTTATTTTCTCTTTCCTGTCAATGTTCGTGTTTTTGTAGATTACGTACAACAATCAATTGATATTGATATATCAATTTGAAACTGAAAACACACACACACACACACACACAGTATATTAAAGTAGCAGATAATGTTCTAACGTGGTGTCTATTCTGAAACAAAGAAATTGTCTGTTGAGACTTTTATTTTGACATAGACTCCCGCTGTGGGGGAAGTACTCGTTAATGGTTTACTTCCGGTTCTAAACGAAGGTGGGAGTCCCAGCGGATAGTTGTTGATCTGTTTTCACAAAGTTGTGTTTTGGTTTATGAGCTATACGCTATTTGTGAACTGCACGAATATTTAGATAATTTTTTATTAACCGATGACAGCATGGTCCGAGCAAGAAGGTATGTAGTTTAGTTGTCTTTGTAATTTATTGCTGGTTTCTGCTCGTTATTACAATGGTAGGACCTTGATCATGCAGAGGAGATATATCAGTTTATGAAACAGTATTAAAGTAGAAAAGTTATTTTAAATTGTATTTTACAATATTACTATTTTTACTGTATTTTGATCCAATAAATTATATAAGAGGCATCTTTTAAAAACATTTAAAAATCTTAAAACAACTTTTGAACAGTAGTGCATTTCTGTTTTTACATATGAACATTCCTTGACTTGAACAGAATAATTACACTATTGTCACTTCACCATTTTCACTATGAATATTCCTTTTTTTCCAGCTATTGCACAAACATTAGTTTTTATTTGGTTCTAAAAGCCAAACGAATTCCAGCACATAATCATCCTGTGATTGAGAGATTGCTGACCTACAGAAATGTAAGTATAAACAAGTTTACCCTTTTTCACAGGTATTCATAAAAAATAAAAATAAAACGTAAGCTTGGAAAACTTCATCTCTATCACTTTCACAGCTGATAAATGAACTAGGAGCTGTAGATGCTAGACTGGCTTCTCAACTGCGTCAGCTTCTCTCTGGAGAACAGCAAGACCGAACTGTGAAGAGATCAGCGGGCAGCAAACATATCAAAGTAATTACTTTTCCGTTTTAATTTATGCAAGTTAGAACATTGGCTTTTTTCTGAATCTGACATGTCTATATTTTAGGTTTCAGAAAAGGCTAGGCTGGAAGAAGCAGAGGAGTCAGAATCAGATGAGGAAGCGAATCTGCGCTTTTATAATGCCATGGCGGAGAGACAGAAACTTAAGAGGAAGAAGAGCGAGATGCAGAACGAGGACAGGTGAGTCCGTTTACAACATTCAGCACTTGCAGTTTGTCATAAATAATGCTTCAGAAACCTAATTGTCACTGACTTCATTTCCAGATTGGTGGAGGAGGAAAAGATGGACGGAGATGCTAAAAGAGGGATCACCTATCAGGTGAGGTGTTGTGGTTAAATGATGCATGCAACTCACACACAAACAATTTTCAAAAAACTTGAACTTGTGACCTGAAAGTTATATTAGGGACAGTGTTATCATAACCAAATCATGTTTTGTGAAAAGATGTCCAAGAACAAAGGGCTCACACCCAAGAGGAAGAAGACTGATCGGAATCCCAGAGTCAAACACAGAGAGAAGTTCAGACGTGCCCAGATTCGTCGGAAGGGTCAGGTAAGTGTCATAGGATTAATTTCTATAATTCACTTTCGTTTGTGAAATATAAGGTATCACTACTCAAAATGGACACTGACTGCAGATTATTTGCGTCAGGTTCGTGAGGTGCGGCGTGAGGAGACAAGATACAGTGGAGAATGGTCTGGTATTCGTGCTGGAGTCAAGAGGAGCATCAAACTCAAGTCATAAATCTACAGATGATGCTCATGCAAACTTGAATGAGATATTAATATGGACTTTTCTGGCGTTTCTGCAATGTTTATACTCACTATCACAGATATTAACAGATGGATTTGACATGTTTTGTGCAACTGATCAAACAGCAAATAAAATAAAATCAAGTTCTGATCACAGTAAAATGCTATTTTTATTTTATTTTTGGTGTTATGTGCATTTCAAAACTGTAAATATGTTTTAAACCTCAAAAGTATTAACCCGTTTAATGTTTATTGCAGAAAGTTTATTTTTTATACATTACACATACATTATATAATATTATTTAACATTTAATTTACATCGGCTGTTAAAGCGTGGGATTTCTTGCAGATGGACTTAAAGTTTAAAAAAATACTAAGCAAAGGGAACATTAGGATAATAATTACTGAAGCATATTTTATTGTGTTTTTAAACTGATTAATATCCAAAGAAAGCAGATGAAATAAGATATTTTTGTACAGAGGAAATTAATATAAAGGAAATTATTAGATCTCTAATAAACAAATTCATTTTACAACAGAGAAGTTTCTGAACTTGCAGATGTCATTTGGAACGACACAAACAGAAGTCAGCTTTCCAGGATCAGTTTCTCTATTCAAATTTGAACCAGAATTATTACAATACAACAAAAACTGATCCCAGATCTGCCTTGAGCCTACAGTAGATGCTACAAAATCACAGCACGGTTTTTCATACTTGAGACATAAATTGACTGTGTGCTGCAGTCAGATTACTGACAATCCTGTCCTCAATCTCTACCTCTTTTTGCACTTCCTCATCTGTGAGGACCAGCTCTTGTTGCGTGTCCTTGGTGACAACAACCACATAACCACGGCGTGTGTCGAGAACATTCGCAACCACTGCCTGGTGGTTGTATGTTTCTAAGGCACGCCGTGCTCGCTCCAGAAGGATGGAGGGGTCCGTTTCCAGCTTGAAAGAGATGACAAATGCCTTAGGTGCCCAGTCCTTCACCAGTGGGGAAAGCATCTTGGGAACCATCTTCATACTTATCTAAATAACATTAAACAAGCAGAGGAATGACATGTTATATGTTGTTTGGAGTCTAGATTAACTAAACGTAGCATAGCAGATGGGTGTAAAAAAAAGAAGAAATAAACCATGAACTTCTTAAATATAATATATATATATAAATGACATCATTTTAAATAAATATAATATAATAAAAAATGTATAAATAGATCAAACAGCACAGTACTTTAGTTAGTAGAAAAACATTAATGTATGTAACATAATAAAAACTAAATATTAAAATAATACATTTATCATATTAATTTTTCACATAAATTTGGTCTTTCTCCATGAAAACATATAGCTACTTTTTAAAATTTTAGAATGGGGGTCCCTTGCAGGAGGATGATCATATTTGGGGGTGTGTGGCAATCTAAGAGATTGAAAACCCCTGGCCTAGAAGACTGAATTAATATTTGTATTTATTATACAACACCTGAAGTGGCCCATTAGAGGACTGGATTTTGTGTTCTGGCATTTCATAAGCTGGGATGTAGAAATCAGAAACAGCAGCAGCCAAATAAAACATTGCCTTGGACCCTAGGAGGGAAAAACAGAAATGAATACAACTAGTAATCCCACTACAAATGTATTCAGCCTCAAGTAATCAAAAAGTGGCTTTGTTCACCTATGGAGCTTAATGCTTGAGCTGCAGCCTTGAGTAGATGGAGGTACTCCGACAAGGTGTTGAATTCCACCGGCAGCAGTAATCCTGCCGCTTTCACCGCCTGATAGCGCTTTAAAACCTTTGCAATGTTTGGAAGCGCGTTCTGATCCACCAGGATCTGACCAGCGTCCTCCTTACCACTCTCTGATCGTATGCTATCCAGTAAACTGACCCCTGTGTACAGACGAGTGTATGGGTAGAGAGAACGATGCCTGTGCAGAAAGATCACTGCATAGCCTGAGTCCAGAAAATACTCGGCAGAGGTGGACCCTCGCCGACCACTGCTGAAGTTGTCCAGGAACCGTACTGTTCGGGATTCCAGAGGAACTTTAGTTCCTCCCGAGGTGATCAGAACTACTCTGCGCCCGGCCGATCCGTGATGTTCGGCAAACTCTGCCATGAGTTTCTTGACCTCCTCCGCATGAGAGGGGACCGCAAACTCTTCAGACAGTCCTCCATCCACTGCCTGTGAGGCTGAGGGCTCAGAGTAAGCCATTGTAAACCTAAAAGAATAAAGTTTTAGTTATTAAAGTGTTATCATTTTGCAAGCGTTTATGAATGACCATTTGGAATTAGAAATAAGCTCAAGAAGATCAGACAGATTTCAGACCCAAAGTAATATGACATTACATGCTACATAATTGTCCCTGAGCAATACACTGTTGGTCAACTAAGGTCAGATTAATATTTGACGAAGTTCTTGCACTAATTTAAAGTTAAGTGTGAAAAATATACATTCTCGCTGTCAGTGTAATCTTCTCTTATTATCACGTTGATAAACAAGGGTTTACCTGTTTGCTCACTCACAAATAAAACGCTAAAGAATATAATTCACCAGCGAATGACCCTGATAAACTTGGACTTGCTGTGTGACAGATCAACAGGAGCAATTCCCGCAATTTATTATGGTTGATGTGCGCATGCGCAGCTTCGGATGTTGTGATTGGCTATTTCAGAGGGCTGCTGTGAAATTTCCAAAATAAAGGTTTTCAGGTGACTGTTATTCTTTCTGCTTTTATGGGAAACATGGACCACAGTGGTATGAAAGACAAAAGAAAGTACACAAGAAAACAGAGATAAAATAAGGAGAGTATAATACGTAATTTATTTAATATATTTAATTTACTGTGGTCAATAAACAGTGGCATAATCATCCATCCAACATATCAAATACATTTCTAATGTAGGATTTGAAGGAGGAATGAGCTGCAAAATATTTGTAAAACATGTAATTCACATTCAGGTTCACAGGGGGCAGCATTGTTTAAGCAATACAAAATGAGTAGCATTTTACAGCTTAAAAACCGCAAATCATTTTGCAAACATTTAGGACTGGGGTCATGAAAACTTCGCATTGTAAATGTGATATTTACATATCCTACAAATGAATAAATACTCTTTATTTTAAGATTCGCAACTATTAAAATAACAGTCATAATTAAAATAAGCAATAAATAAAAGAAACGAGGAAGTTATTTGAAACCAGAAACACGTGGTGTACCCACTGATCTATATAATGACTATTCTCTGAATATGACTATTTACTTCTCTATTATAGATCAGTGAGTGTACCACAAAAGTAAAACAAATGAGAAATATTTTTCTTCCTCCAGACAAACGGATCAAAGTGGGGAAACGTCTTTATTGAATGTATTATTATTATTATTATTATTATTATATTTTTAAATACTTTTGGGGTGCTGTCCACGTCTTTTATTAGAAACAATTATATTAGTAGGCCTACATATATCGTTACCCATGTGCCAAAAGCTTTATGAACGGCACCATTATTAGCAGTAATAACGTTTCTTATTAACAGAATAGGTATTTAATATTTTAAATACTGATTAATATTAAAATAGTTCCGAAGATTCCGGACGAAATCACAATCCACTGTGGTAACTCAACATCCATGAATTGTCTGATTTAAAACCAGACAAAAACCAATAACAGCATAAAACCAACTATATTTGATCAATACATTTAAAAAAAAACATTTAAAAAAACATGTTGGGAACTATCTACATCTTTTAAATTTATATTCGGATATACTGCTACTCTTTCGACAAATGATTTACGATTGAATCGATTAGTACATTTAATTTTCGAAATTGTTTTTTATCATATCGTATGGTTGTGCTGAAGAAAAGCCATTTATAATAATTCTCGTGATAATATTCTTGTACACTAAAGGCACTACTTTCCGGCTGCAAAGCCTGTCGCAGCTTGGTACAGTGGGCCGTTCTCCGGCTAATGTCCAAAAGTAGTTCCGGATTTTTGATCCGCGCAGTCCCCGGATGTTAGCTATTCGGAGAGAAAGACGAAAAGAGCGAGAGAGAGAGGCGGAGAAGCTAGGAGACGCCACGGACAAACTGGTAAAGGGATTGCGGGTCTCAAACCCACGATAAACACGGAGAGCTGTGGCTCGTTTCGAGGAGAGAGAGGAAGCTGTGATCGAAAAAGGAGGGGAGGGGACGGCTAACTTTGACAGACCTGCACTGGCCTCCAGTAGCGGACACGAGCCCGGGTGAGTGCGGGTGAACGTTACGAGCTCGCGACATGGAGCTCGCGAAGTTGAAGTCAGGGCCCGCGAAAAATGGACGACTTTAACTGTTAGTTGTGTGCTGCTGAAGTTCTGAGCAGAGCAGGAGGACAGACGTTCAGGCCTCAAGTGGTATGCCGCTGCCGCCGTCGGTCGGGGGCAAGTGGGGACACTGCAAGCTCCTCTGTCACAGCAGAACAAGTTTAGTTAGCAAGCTGCTAGCCGCCAATACGATTTTTGTCAGACAGGTAGCGAGAGTGAGCTGCTAATTAGCCGCCAGCTTTACTTTAGCTCGCCTGCTATTTGTTCGCGTATTTGACAGGCGTCTGACTTGCAATATTTGTGACTGAAACTCGGTCAGTAAGCCGAGCTGGAAGGGAGCTCTTCGACCGGGAACTGCCAAACGAGCAACTTTTGGTCCTGTCAACTAACAGTATTTGGAGGTGGAGGCCGTGTCTATTAATATTTTGAAAACAGACGTGCGGCAGCTGCGTGTCATTTTAAATACGAATCCAGGCCAACTTGTGCTGCCATTAAGATGCATATAACTTCGGTTTTTGTGCGAACAAGAGGTGTAAGATTGTTTATGGAGCGTTATTGTGATTTTTAGTGTGAATTTATGAAGTTTTGCATGAGTTATTTACCTCTCTGTCAGCATATGCTGGATGAAGTAGCACTTTAGGTGAATTCGACGACAGGTTATAATAATAGTCAGTTTCAGCAGTTCTGATCTTACATTGAGCGGTATTTGTAAGATTTTATACACATCATATATAGACTGTCATATCTAGTCAGTGCAAGACTAGTCCCCCGTCTGTTTAGCTGCTGGAATGTGACCCGTTGTCTGTCAGTTATTTGGATTTTCCCCCTTAGCTGCTGCAAGAACAGACCTTTGCTGTCATGTTGTGCTCTGTGTTTAATTTGTTTTCTTGTTGTTTATATCGCGATGTCTAACGTTTATAATTTGACATTAAGGCAAGACACCACAGGTGAATATGGTAACAAGTAGACATCACTATACTTCCCCAGTTGATTAATCACAGTACAATATGGCAATTGTTTTGTATTCCAGTTTTTTAAATAGTATGTTTAAATATGAGGTGTGATGCAATTAATTATGCACTCATTTGCGTAATTGCATAAATGGAATTTTTGTTTCATTTTGTTGACGTATTAAGAGTATTTTTTTGGTATTTCTATTTATCGCTCCATAAAACAGAAAATACTGGCAAGTTACAGTAGTAAAATGTTATATACAGTCAGGTAAGTGGTATATAAATAAGCTACTCTGTAAATACAGAATATAGATAGGAATAAAACTCTGTAAGTGCTACTGAAGTGAAGGATTATTGCTCAGTACAGGAGAAAAAAAACTCATTCATTCAGAGAAAACAGCCTTTAAAGATATGTATTGTAATTGAATTCTACAGATGCAAAAAGATAAAAAGATAATTTTTTTAAAATGTGAATTTTGGGTGTTTTTTTTTCACTAGTATGAAAAGAAGACATGTTATAGAAGCAAGATAGACTAATATCTCAAAATTGACCAGTGCATGAAAAAACAAATGGTTTTGACTGTAGTGTCTTGTCTTATGTTGACAATGACAGCTTGTCTGCATATTTTTGCATGCATGTTACATTTGTATTGGCCTGATGAGGATTGACCAACAGCATTTAATGAGTTCTAATGGGATTTTCTCCCCCTACTCATTCACTAGAGATTAAAGTATGAATGGAGAGACTGTTGAATTATGTACTAGCATGCTTAAAATATTGAATAATGGACATATGTGAACTACCCGGGACATATTTTCCCCACCCATTCAGCGTAGCAGTACAATAGTGTGAAAGATTCACGTTAGCACCAGGCTTGTTTGTCTTTGGGTTGTCAGCCCACAGAACGCAGAAAATGATTGAACCATCAGTTGCCTGTCAGAACACGCCTGGTGGTTCTTGTGCTGAAACTGCGTGTCATTAGCATTTGTTAGTTAAATGTATATTATGAAATATGTTACATAGACATTAGAAAAGACTAACAAGGTGAAAAATGATATTGAGAATAAAGGAAAAACCTATGAATTTATTACCAGGTAATGCATGTTTTGTTTGAAACATTTCGATTAAAGGGGTCATATGATGCGATTTCAAGTTTTCCTTTCTCTTTGGAGTGTTACAAGCTGATTGTGCATAAAAAAGAAAGCACCTGAAATATCAGTCTGTTTAAAATTCATCTCTGTTGATAAAAAAAATAGTAGTATTTTCTAATATATTTTCCAATATGTTAAAGCATGATGAGGACATGAAATTGTACAGCATAACATGAATGATTTCTTATTTAAATAGTTTTATTGTTAATATTGTCTAAATCTGATTGCATGAACTAAAACTTTTTTGGGCTTTTATCACAGTGAAGCCAACTGAGAGTAGCCATGAAAGAAGTTTTTGTTACTTCAGTTTTAAATGCAAGTCTTAAGAAAAGGTACCCCTGAAGTGTCATTTATCTTTCAACTTGTTCTGTATGTTGTTCATTAGTGATTTGCTAAATGGGCTGGAATGGGAGCTGTTAAAGAACACCAGCATGGCATCTGTTGTAGCGTACCATAACTGTTCCCATGCCAGGATCTGACGAGGCCTCCGCTGCAGTATTGCATACAGACTCGTCTCCGTCTTGCCCTCAGGCCTCAGTGGGCATCCTGCCGCTACGTCTAAACTCACCTGGAAACTGCTGGCTTTATGCATTCCACCTACTTTATCATCACTAAAGGCGCCATAGGCCACACGCCAAATGGGGCATTGTATGGCGCTTTAGATCTTTGGTGGCTGTGTTATTAATTTTTTTTAATATGTTGGAGCTATACGGTGTTCAGCGTAATGAGCTGTCTTTACCGTTACACTGTTTACAGTGTTTTCTGAGGCATTAGCATGTTTTATTTTTCCCCTCTGCTGAATTGGTTGATGAGATTTTGTCCCACATTTAGAAAAGTTAAGCCTTTCTCCAGCTGTGCTGCAAAAACATCTGTTCTCTTACATTTGTGTTGTGTGAAACCAGTGTGTCAAATTCTCTCTTTTTCTGTCTGGTTGCAACAAGTGGTTTGCTTCCCATTTTCTCCATTAGATTTTCACAATCAGACAGATTTTAGTTTGTGATGTTGAAAAACACTGTTATGACATTGAATTAGCAGCAAGGCGTGTGCAGATTGAGCAGTCTGATGTGAGCAAAGAAGAGACAGCCCCTCACCTTTCACATACCAATAGCCCATTTGGAATGCAGCGGTGGCGCTTTGCCCAGCCCTGTCTCACTGAGAGGCTTTTAATTTTTCCCCCTTGTTGAAGCGATTATTTAAATGGCTCTCCGTGAGATTAAGTTATCAGACTCCTGTTGGTAAATGGGGTCCAGGCAAGCTAAATGCATGGCTTCCCCAGCTCAGAAACTGCCCATCAGGTAACCACTTGTTGCATTGCTCCTCCGCTCCCCCTGGTGATGACATTAAATATCTGGACTAAAATGCTTTTTGTTACTTTTCTGTGCTATGTATTTTCTTGTTTACTTTCTGCAACCCTCAGTGGTTGTCAATATTGCATGTTGGTGCTTGTTAGGCATAGAAATTACTATGACTCAAAGAACATAGCACTCTTGCAATGCTAGTGTTAAATTAATTAGTGTTTTTTTTTTAGTTAAATGCAGAATCATTTACATTCTGGTAAGCAGTGTTAATTCAGACAAGCTGCCACCATTAATATTACAGTCCTTTCACAGCATCTTCTCCTTTCCTTTTATATCATGGATGTGATGGAACATTTTCATAATCAACTAGTCTTAGGTTGAAAGACTAGTTAACTTTTTGATTTCTCAATTTTAATCGATTTTCATGTTGATGAACATTGATTTGTAAATCCCAAGATTGATCTTTTAGTCTATCACTATAAATGATGAATTAAGAGACCAAGATTCTGAAAGGGTTTTACCATGAGGCCTTTTAGCCTGCAAAAGCAAAACGCATGCTCAGGATGCTAAAATGCTCTTTAAAGGAATACTCCACTATTTTTGAAAATAGGCTCATTTTCCAACTCCCCTAGAGTTAAACAGTTGAGTTTTACCGTTTTCGAATCCATTCAGCCGATCTCCGGGTCTGGCGGTAGCACTTTTAGCTGTAGCTTAGCATAGATCATTGAATCTAATTATACCGTTAGCATCTCGCTCAAAAATGACCAAAGAGTTTAGATATTTTTCCTATTTAAAACTTGACCTAGCTTGCGCTCACTGTTGTACACGGGAGCAGTTCCGGGGGAATTACGTATGAGGTCAGCTTTGCGTCATATACACCTAGGATGCATCGGGGGTGAGTAAAACACAGCCTAATTTGTATTTTTGGGTGAACTAACCCTTTAAGAAACCTTTAAATGTACCAACGATGTTTCACCTGTCAGTTGTACTAATTGATCTGTTCTTGGACAACTGGTCAACCATTTTGGTCTGTGTCTATTTTTTATTGTCCATTTCAGGCTGTTACAATAGCGCCTTCCAATCTGAGGCTCCTGTTGTGGCAAGAAACAATATGAAGCCTTGCTTTGCTAGTGGTGAAAGTCAGTAAGTAGCTCAGTCTTCATTAGCAAAGCCGTTCATTGCTAGAATGCAGATGAGCTATGAAGCCATTCATCTCTGATTCCAATTTGAATCTTGTTTGCAGTCATATTGTGTGAGCCCACTTTTTCATTTTCAAGAAGTCTATTTATGTGAAAGATAACTGGGGGTTAATTGCACTTAAATGAACCTCATTTAGAACTGACCAGAGCAATTACAGTAACTGCAGTTCCAGGCATTTTTGGGCCACTGGTTGCTAGTGTTGCAGTTTCAACTAGGCTATGATCAGATTGAAATTGTATTGATGTTGAATAGCAGAACAATTTTGAACATATTCATTCTCATGAATGACAATTAAAATATTTTAGCGCTTACAAAAATATGAGCCTTTCACAAGGTGTAC